GGGTTGCCAGATAAAGTTAAAATGTCTTATTACCCCTTCCTTTTCTGTGCACATGTTCACCACACACACCCCATCTTAGGATATCTTTACTCAGCACATATGACAGTTGAGGTCAAAATCATTTTAACGCAACAGTACTGCAGTTCACAATTTCTTATCTGGCAACCCCAACTGACATGGAAACTACAGCGTTTTTATGTAAACCTGCTCGTTTTTTAATTACCCCAAACACTAACATTTCCAGATGTTGTTCTCGTGTAAACTGGACCAAAATCTGACAAGGGTTTGAAAGCCACTGGGACGTCATGTTTAGAAAATAAACACATCAGTCAATAAAATAAAATAAATGCAAAAATAAACGTCTCAGTCGTGTAACGTCTAAACATGAAGTCCCAGTGGCAGTAACTCTTCAGTAAATTTTAGCTTTTTTGGGACGTTTTGCTACTTTTAGCTAGCCTTTTACTATTTTTTAGCTTTTTGCTAGCTTAGATTCTTTTAGGTTTTAGTTAGCCTCTTGCTACTTTTGGTTAGCATTTTAGCTTTTAGCTAGGCTTTTGCTTCTTTTAGGTTTAACTACTCAGTTTCAATTCCTTAAGTGAATTTTAGCAAAGTCAAACAACACTCAACAGTGTTGCAGTTTTGCAGGAAAACTCAATTTCTCCAGTTTCAGGTAATCACCCCCTCATGTATTTTCACCTGTAAACAGCAAAAACTATTTAAAGGAACTAACAGAAATGTCATCTGTCTGTCACAGCTACCACACTCCTCTGTGTGGAATCATTTTTCCCTGCTCCCTCCTTTGCCTCCGCTTTGTACCTGACAAAATAAATCAGTGCCACCAACTGTCTTTTGACATGAACACCACTCAGTTTATTACAAAGCCAAGCTCCATATCAGCGCTGTGGGCAAGTTTTGGCTTTAGCACAAATGCAGTGTGGGAGAGCCAAGTAGCGTAGAGAAGCCAGTTGGTTAAATTTATTGCTAAAAGCTTCAGGTAAAAGTTACTAATCCAATTCCAAAGTACTAAACGCAGTTTTAAATTGGCAAATACTTTTACTTTAAAAAATAAAACATCTTTTGAAAATAATCACTTCTTTACTCAGCCAATAAATTTACTACACTGCTGACAAAGTGAACTCCTCTGGCAGGATGGGTGTGTTTATTCTCAGCTGTTAAAGAGTCAGGCTGCCGAGCACCACGTTCCATCTCATGTGAACTGCAACAACAAAACAAATGCAACAAAGTAGCTGTGTCCACACTGTTGTTGTAATGTCGTTCCTACTTCATCTCAGAAGGCTTTTTTCGTGATTTTTCTTCTGTTGGACTGTATATTTGCATGGACTTTTTAATAAACCTGTCAAACAGACAGCCCATGCTTTGTACTATAACCATCCAAATATTAAAATGTTCAGCTAAGTCTGGATTAATAAGCTTTGCTTTTTGGTATTTGTAACCGTTATACTTTTCAGAAATACTGAACTTTACAAAAGTTTCCCACATAGAACAATATTAAGATCTATTCAATTCATATGAAACATAGTTTTCTTTGAATATTTGCTCTATTTTGGTCTTCGTATGCTCCTTTTTAACTTTTAGCTACTGCAAGGCTTATTTTAATCTTTAGTTTTGTTGTAGCTAGTTTTATTCTTTAGCTACTGAGTTGCCAAATTTAGCTTTTAGCTTTTAGTGATTGTTTTGTTTATTTTTAGCTTTTAGTGGTTTTACTAATATTAGCATTTAGCTACTGTTTTTGGTAATTTTAGCTACAAGCTACATGTTTTAGTGCTAATTTTAGCCTTTAGCTACATGTTTAAATTTGGTAATTCTTTCAGCTATGGTTTTGGTCATTCTAATTTTTAGCTATAGTTTTCCCCATTAGCTATTGGCTCCTTTTGAAAATTAATTTAAGACTTTAGTTACATATTTAACTTAGCTAATTCTTGTAACTACAGGTTTGCTAATTTTAACTTTTATGGAATGTTTTGCTAATTTAAGTTTTTTGCTTTGGTTTTGCTAATTTTCCCTTTAAGCTAACGATTTTTGAATTCTAACTTTTAGCTATTGTTTAGTGATATTACCATACCATACCATTTTATTTATAGAGCACTTAAAACAGCGACAAGGCCAACCAAAGTGCTGTACAGACAAAACAACAGACAACACACAAAGCAAAATACAAAATGAAGTAAATCAGAATATAGACATAAAAACGATGCAGATAATGACGACTAACCAGTGTGGAGCATACAGGTTCAAAACACAGATCATCTGGTGTTGAAAGCTACTGAATAGTAGTGAGTTTTTAAACGGGACTTGAAAACCGAGAGGGAGGGGGCCTGTCTGACAAGCAGAGGTAACTCGTTCCAAAGTCTTGGTCCTGCTACAGAGAAGGCCCTGTCCCCTCTGCGCTTAAGACGAGTTCCTGGAACTGTGAGGAGCAACTGGTCCGCTGACCTCAGGGATTGTGGTGGGACATACAGTTGTAGCAGATCAGAGAGATGGGGGGAGGAGGAAACTGTTCAGCGATTTGTAGACCTACAGAAGTATTTTGAACTGGATTCGAAGGTGAACCGGTAACCAGTGCAGTGAGGCCAAAACTGGTGTAATGTGCTCTCTTTTGCCTGTACTGGTTAAAAATTGGGCTGCTGCATTCTGGACAAGTTGTAGTCGTGCAATGGAGGTCTGACTGATACCAAACAGGAGTGAATTGCAGTAATCAAGCCTAGATGTAATGAATGCATGTATTACTGTCTCCAGGTTATTTTTGGACAATATGGGCTTCAGTTTAGACAGCCGCCTCAGTTGGAAGAAACATGATTTAACAATCATGTTTGCGTGATTGCTAAGTTTCAGGGAAGGGTCCATTATCACGCCCAGATTAGTGAATCTTTGTTTTTCTGACAGGGTTAGAGCAGAGAGGTCGATGCAGTGGTTTGTGATCGTGTCGTTGGGAGGGAACAACATGACTTCAGACTTCTTTTCATTGAAACTTAAGAAGTTTAAAGCCATCCAGTCCTTGATGTCAGCCAGGCAGTCGAGCAGAGGTTGAATAGAGCATGTACCATTGTGTCTTAGTGGGAAGTAAATTTGACAGTCATCGGCGTAGACGTGGAAGGGCATGTTGTGTTTCCGGAAAATAGCACCAAACGGCAGCAGGTGTAAAGAGAATAGGAGGGGACCCAGGATGGACCCCTGCGGAACCCCCCATTTAAGCTCTGCCGCTGCAGAACTAAACTCCTTGATGGAGACACAAAAGGATCTGTCGGCGAGGTAAGATCTGAACCAATTGAGGGCTGACCCTGTGATGCCCACCCACTGCTCCAACCTAGCAATGAGGATCTCATGGTTGATGGTGTCAAAGGCGGCTGTGAGGTCCAACAGGACAAGCAGCACAGAATCACCGGTATCTGTGGTTAAGAAAATGTCATTAAAGACTTTCAGCATTGAACTTGTTATTGAACTTGCTGGTGCTGTTTTGCTAATTTTATCTTCTTTCTTGTTTTAACTTCAATTATTCAGTTTCAGCTTCTTATGCATATTGTGACAGTCGTTCAGCGCTGAGCATTCGTACATAATTTACACAGAAAATGCAAATTTCTGTAGTTTTATCAGTCCCATTCATTTCCCCATGTTCTCATATGGCATTTTGCAGATTATCTCTTCAAGATATATGCTTGACATAGACTTTTTTTAAAATGTCCTCACCTTATTTTTAATCAGAGCAGCAGCGAGTGGTATAGTTGTTAGCACTATCTCCTCACAGCAGTAAGGTCCCTGGTCCCTGGAGGGTGTCAGTGGGTTTTTACGTTCTCCTTTTGATTAGAATTTGGATGGTGATTCTAAAATAACCTTTGCAGGGAGAGTGTGGTTGTGTGTGTTCGTATTTTCTATAGACCCCAGGCAAGGGAAGATACTATTCTTAAAAGATCATATTGGAATGAGATGTTTAGGTAAATCTTAATCTACTTGCTTGTTATGTCTTGCAGGCACCAGCCAGCTGAAACGCATGCTGCTAAGAGAAGTTGACACCATCTTTGAGTGTAAGCTATGTCGCAGTCTGTTCAGAGGCCTCCCAAACCTCATCACACACAAGGAGTACTACTGCTTATCACGGCTGCCTGATTGTGACGGTGAGGGAGACGACACGCACGCACGCAGCTACGCACCAAATCACAATGCTTCCAACAGCCTTAAAATCAAAGACCAACCAAAAAAAAAACACCCCATAGAACAACAAAAAAGCACAGAAGTCCAAATCTCAATCTAAAACTCAACAGGCAGAAGAAGTGAAGGATAAATAAGAGCTTTTTTGGCCGGGGCTTTTTGTAGAAGCTGATGATGTTCAAAGAAAACGCTTGAAAGCATCACCAGAACCAACTTTGACTCCTCGAACAAGACGCGATCAAACCTGACTTCCATTTAGTCCCCGTGAACTCAGAAGATTACACTCTCTTTTTGCTTTCATTGTCTCCTTGGGCTCCTTCACATTTTGCTTTTGTACTTTGTCACTCTAAGGATCCATCAGTTGCTTCCACACCATCTGTCTCCTACTTGTTATTCTCCCACCATTTTCTCTTGTGCATACGCTCGTACTCAGAGGAACACACAGCAATGTCTTCTGTCGTTACACAAAATGCAGTTTCTCCCCTTGTACGAGCAAGAAAAAAAAAGATTTTCTTTTAATGTTTGTGTGTTTATGTAATTCTTGTTATCTGGAATGTATCCACGTCTGCTTAGAAGTGCGGGGAGACGACAGTCTAATCCACCCTTTCTCCTCCTGATAAAGAAATCAATCTCGTCACAAGCAGCCTGCTGTAACAATTACTGATGTAAGAATATTTTTTATCATGATCTTTATACCTTTGTAATGATGCTCTCTTCACTTCACTTCTCTTGTTGCATTTTAGTCATGTTTCAAATTAAGTGTCTGACCATAATTAGTATCACAGGTTCTTTCAAGCTTTTCATCAGACGTTCGTCCTATTTCAAGGCAACAAACAGCCACTGTTTGGTATCTTTGTGTGCACCACACTGAACTTGAAGCAGAGAAAGCAAAGGTGAGAGCTGCATGAGGAGCTCAGAAAGAAGATTGTAGATATCTGTGGTAAAGGTAAAGGCTACAAGATCCTCTTCAAGCAGCTTCATGTCCCTCTGACCACAGCATCCAAAGTTATAAAAAGAAATATAAGATTCATGGGACTATAACCAACCTCCCAGGACATGGACACAAGAGGAAATGTGACTCCAGGATAATCAGATGGCTAGTCAGCCAAGGAAACCTTCCAAAATCGTTTAAGCTATGCTACAAGGTCAAAGTACCGTATTTTTTGCCCTATATGTCGCAAGCCCATCACAGGACCGCATAGACAATCGAGAAAAACAACCATTCACTCTCTCACTCACACCTAGGGACAATTCAGAATTACCAATCAGCCTAACATGCATGTTTTTGGTCTGTGGGAGGAAACCGCAGTACCCAGAGAAAACCCACGCATGCACGGAGAGAACATGCAAACTCCACCCAGAGATGCCCCAGACCATTGAATCATGCAATAGGTAAAAGTGGTTATTAATTACAAATTCAAAAAAGTTCAAGGCAAAAACAACTGGACTTTATTTATTATACTTAATATTTTATTGTTTTTGTCTGGAACATTTTTGAATTTACCATGTCCTGGATGACTTGAGAATCTTCACCAGCTATTAATGACACAATCGACTTGCCATAGACTGCCACCTTCGTTCTGCTCGCTGCTTGGAGCATCCATCAAATCAACTTCATTCCGCTGGACCGCCCCTGTGAAATGCATCTAATTAGACCATTAAAGTGCATTTATTAAGTAAAAATTCAATTGAGACGCACCTTTACTATAATTTTGAGCAAACAAATAATTGTTTTAAGTGTTAGTCTTGTTAAATTCTTGTTAAAGTCCTCCCGTGCACGCTCTCGCGGCCGCCATTTGGCAGCCAATCGATTTTTGGCACAATACCGGCCCGTGTTTCCAGCTTGTCAGCAGTGACTCGTAACAAACGTGACGCATCAGCGATGACGCGTAATAGATGCGACGATTACGGCGAAGCATCATAATTATAGATTTTTCCACGTTAATAGACATATTTGGACTGATACGGCTTATGGGGCGGAGCGACATGTACGGCGGAAAATACGGTACGTCACTTTCTAATCGCACCATCCGTCCCATTTTGAATCGCAATGGGCTCCATGGAAGAAGACCCTGGGGGGATTCAGCTACTGACAGCCAGACAGGAACGCATCAAAATAAACGTTGACATGCCCCGACGTTTCTGGGACCAAAGAGACAAAACTGGAGACGTTTTGTCAGTCACATCAGCTGCGATTTTTACGAGCAACAGATGCGTATATCTACATCTATAATATTACTACAAAAACATTTACTACAAGAGAATTTTCCAAACTCTTGATGCTCAAGGCACATTTTTTTATATTCACTATAAAAGAAAAATCTGTGTTTAAAAAATATTTGAGCCAAACCAAACTCGCAAAAACAAACTGTTTTGTCGCCCCGGCACACACTCACAAACAGCTATGTTGAAAGAGTATTAAATTGTTTTATTTTTTTATTTTTTTATGTTACTCCTCTTGTCCAGGAACACACACAAAAAAAAATGTGAAAGAAAGGTGTGATTGCACCCGTCCTGCAAGATTATGTTTCCTGTTTGGATTTGAACAATTTAATCTGATGCCTGCTCACAATTTGCCACTACAAGAAGGCTGCTTGGGGTCAAAGATATTCCTGCAGGACAGCTGTTGCAACACAAACATCTGCTGTTAGGGCTTCAGAGTTTTATTTCTTTAGGTTGATCTCCAACCTTTTGGTCAAGTCTGTAACCCAAAACTCATTTCAGTGTTTCAAAGCTAGTAGTTTTTTAAAATGTATTTATTTTGGGTTGCTTGTTGATCACAAATCACCTCTTGTTTAGATATTTGTGTGAAGTAACATGAATTAGTACAACTGATCAGAATCACGTACAGTAATGTTAGTCTGAGTATGTTTAGTTTGGTTTATTAATCTCTTTAAGTGTTTGAAGCTCAGTTTTAATGTTTGGTGATGTTTTATTACAGGTTCTTCGGGTGATGACAAACAGGGTGTAGCCATGAAGGATTTGTTGGATGCTATTTATCCCAGAGTCCCGGAGTATGTGGTCCGACTTGAGCCCATTCAGACCACCACAAAGGCAGTCTTCCAGTACCTCACCACAGAGGAGGATCTGACCAGATATCCATCACACACAACCAGGTCTGTGCACATTTAAATATGTCAGGACTGCGTGCAAGTAATATATTTGTTCAGTTTGCTTTTATTTGCCCTTGGTTGATGACGTTTTGTCTCGTGTCTCAAAGTGCCAGAGAGAGTCCGGTAGCTTGGGAGGGAGAAGCAGAGGAGAACGTGGAGAACAGTCAGCCCAACCAGCCGAGTGGGTCAGAGAGCCACAACAGCCCAGGACACAGGAGGTGGGAGGCCGACGAGGAACCCAAAGAGGAGCAGCCACAGCCTGAAGACGAGGGGTCCAACAGTGGGGTAGGAGACGAAATGCAAAGTGGGAGACCATTTAATGTGTAATGAAATCAAAACTTGCAAACATAAAAAAAAAAGTGTTTGTTATTGCAATAACGATTTAAGCATTTTCCTATGATGATGAGTTTTCTGACTTATACCCATCCAGGTTGAAGATGTGACGATCTCCTGTTGTCTTTGTGGTCAAGACTTCAACTCGCGTCGCAGCATCAGGCGTCACTGCCGCAAAATGCACCAGACGAAACTGGAGGAGCTCCGAAAGTTCACAGAGACGCGCACCGTTCCAACAAGTCTGCTCTCCATGGTGAAAGGTACGGCTTTATACCAAAATATCAGGATTACTTCTCTTTTTGCATTTTAAGATGAAAATACATTGGGAGGAAACGTTAAGCCAGGGTTATTAATTCATTATTCAATATTTTCTAGACAAGTCAGTCTGTGTGTTGTTGAATGAAAGCAGTAAATAATGGGTCGTAATAGAAAATGTTTTTGATAATGCTTGAGGTCGGACTCGGACTCTCAGCACACCGACTGGAAAATCCTGCCCAGTGTGCCTCAAAACCTTTGCCACCAAAGCCAACGTGCGCCGCCACTTTGACGAGGTGCACCGCGGTCTGCGGAGGGACACCATCACCCCCAGCATCGCCTCGCGGCCCGGCCAGCCTTTCACACTGGAAGTCACTCCTCCGAGGAGCAAGAGCAATAGTTCGTCTCCAACACGTGGCAACAACGCCAAGCCCACGCCCGTGAACTCTAAAACGAACACTCCAAACCAAAACCAAGGAAAACCGCCGAGTCAGCCTTCGGCCCCGTCTTCACCGGCCAACACAGCCTCGTGCCGCTGCACGCTCTGCAAGAGGAACTACAGCTCTCAGGTGGGGTTCTAACCCATCCACAGGTTTATAGTTTATACCTTTACACCACCCATAGTCGATATTTTGATGAACATTTTGACCAAGTTTGTAAGTTTAGGATTTGAGTAAAATGCGGATGAATTTGGGATTGTTCAAACTAACTGAACGAAAGTACATTAAATACCAGAACCAAATGGAAGGTGAATTTGTTGTAGATTAAAGAAATGGTAAGTTGTAAGGTATTGTACATAAGGTAACAATTACACAATGTCTAAAATCTGTTGATGGTTTAAATGTATAAACTATTTGTAATCAAACTGTAATCCATTCATCCATTATCTTCCTCTTGTTGTGGAGTTGGTTCACGAGGGCAGCAGCTTGAACAGGGAGGACCAGACATCTTTTTCTACAGCCACCTCTTCCAGCTCCTACTACTAAAGAATACACAAAGAGAACCCCTTAAAATATACTTTCATAGCTTAAAACAACTGAAAAAGTTATTTTAATATAAAAATAACCTTCCAGAGAAGGAATAAAAGGAATCAAATTACATGAAGCACTTTAATTAATGCAAAACAAAAAAAAATTAACTCGTATTTATGGATGTTGTCGTCTAACATTCTGAAATAAAACTTCACAAAACAAGCAATGTTATTGATCTCTTTTCACAGCTGTGATTGTTGTGGGAACCAAAATGAACTGAAAGGTGCAGCGCTAACACTGAGCACCAAATGACTGCTAACATCTGCTGAAAAAGCAAAAACAGAGTACCGTAATTTCTGGACTATTGAGCGCACCTGAATATAAGCCACGCCCATTAAATAAATTAAAAAACAAAAGTGCATATATAAGCAGCACTTGTCTATAAGGTGTCCGCGTTGTAACGAAATATTTACACAGAAAGATTTTTTAAACTTTTAATTAAATATGTACCAGTAGGCCTGTCATGATAAACAATAAATCAATTAATCGCATGATAAATGAAAATTATCAACCTCATTTTCATTTATCAGCTTTATTGTTTCTTCGTGTCTCTCTTTCTGAAGACACTGGATGACAAAAGGCTCAACTCCAGTGCTCTTCACTGACCCCTACCTTTCTCTTTTCTCTTTAAAATCCATTTTAACCATCCAAAATTGTGTTTTTGGATTGCTTAAAGCAGTAAACTGAGAAGCTAAGCTACAAGCTAAGCTAACAGGCCGACCTCGGGGAAAACGCCTCCATCTTGTCGAAGCTCCAAAATTCACAGTTGAAACCTGTGCCTTCATGTAAAAGGTTTTTCTCTGCAAAAAGAAGCTGGGAACTTGTTTACTGATTTTTTTTATTAAAAGCTTTATGTGAAAAATGCTATGCTAAAGAACTCAAATCACACCGAGCGTCCGCCATTTTGAGAACCAGCGACAGCCCATGTCACGTCAAGGGGCCTCCCTCCCATTTTTCTTCGAGGCACGCTGCTCTCTCCCTCACTGTCCATCCTTCAGTTCAAACAGTCTTATACTGCCATTCGGTGGTTGAAAAAAGGTACTACACTCAAAACAAATTAACCAACATTTCTTCTTAAATTTGACAATAATTAATCTTTATTGTCGAATTTCAAACAATATTATCGTTTATCGCAATAATTTCTGAGACAATTAATCGCCCAGCAATTTTTTTTATCGTGACAGGCCTATGTACCAGTAACATACACAAATATGTACAGTAATTTTAATTTTTTTTCTGAACAGTGGCTGTAACACGGCTCCTTTAAAAAACAAAAAACAAACATAAATTAGTCGTCACATTCTATAAGCCATGGTGTTCAAAGCGTCTGAAAAAAGAAGCAGCTTATATTCCGAAAATTATGGTAATTAAAGCTAAGATGGCAAAACACTAGCTATAAGCTAAAGAATAAGAAATCTAGCTAAAAAACAAAAGTACCAAATGGCTTACTAAAAGTATCAAAAGACTAGTTAAAAGTAACAAAGGGCTATCTAGAAGATAAATCTAACATAAGGTTAGCTAAAAGCTAAATAAAACCAAAGGCTTGGTAACAGGATGCTTTTTAAAAGCTAAATGCAGCTAAACACTAGCTACTTTAGAGCCAGAACACTGAAGCAGACTTGAAGGAGAACAATGGGTCTGAACAATTTTTGAAGAAGAATTGTTAAATGTCAACAAATGTAATATTTGTGCATAAAGTTAAATATTTTGTAAAGTATAGATGTTTCCAAAAACAAACTTATAGAAGCCAGTTTCTGCCCGAGCACCATCAGGGTATGTGCATGGTTTTAATTTAGACTTTTCATGAAGCTTGTGTCTACTGGTAATCAGATCTGTGTGCATTAGGATGTTCTTCCTGGTTTGGTGCCGGAGGAGATGAAAGGTTCAAACTGGGAATATTCTGGAGCAGTCCTCAAATAATAAGATTTTTTATTGTCTATTTTTCAGCTTATGTTGAAGAGACACATGCGTATTGTCCACAAGATCTACAGCATCAAAGGTAACAAGTCTGCTGCCACGCCCACCCCCGCTGTCACGGTAACTACCTCCAACAGCAGCACCACTAACTCGAGCATCAGCAACAACATCAAAGTGAAGGAGGAGGCAGTAGAGCACTCGGATGAAGATGATGAAGATAAGGACGTTGATAGTAGTCCTGCCCCGTCCCCCTGTGACATCAGCGTGGCAGCTAAAGGAGTTTCACACAATGCTGTGAAGGTGAAGGAGGAGGAAGCCCCTTCAAGCCCAAAGATAGCGCCATCCTTACCTTCATCATCTTCCCGTGCAGGCAACGTGTGCAGCGGGAACATGGCCGCCAAAATGACCAAACTGTCGGTGGGCTTCGACTTCAAGCAGCTCTTCTGCAAACTGTGCAAGCGTCAGTTCAGCTCCCGTCAGAACTTGACGAAGCACATCGAGCTGCACACCGACGGCAACGACATCTTCATCAAGTTCTACCGCTGCCCGCTCTGTCGCTACGAGTCGCGCCGCAAGCGAGACGTCCTGCGCCACGTGACCGTCGTTCACAAGAAGTCGTCCGCCTACCTAGCAAAGATCATGCCCAAGCTCGAAAGCCGGGCGGTGAAGAGGCTCGCCGAGGCGGTCCTCAGCAGCACGAGCAAGAGGACCGGCAGCAACGTCAAAGAGGAAGTGAACGGCCGCCACGCTTCATCGTCCTCCTCCTCCTCTCCCTCACCTCCTGTCACCCGCAGACAAGAGTGCTCCACGCCTGCCCCGACCTCCTCTTCTTCGCCCTCCTCCTCTGCTCCGACTCCTGCCCCCGTCACTCGAAAGCAGCAGGAGCTGTCGTCCCCAGCCTCCGCTCCATCCCCTCCGCTCACACGCAAACAGGAGAGGCAGCAGACAGCGCAGCGTCCCGTCAGCCCCCCGCTGACCCGCCGCAGCGAGAAACACTCACAAACCCGCAACTCGTCCTCCACCGTCTCGTCCAGCAACCAGACCCCTCACACCCGGAGACACGATGTCCAGTCAGAGAGCAGCACCGGGACGTCGTCCACCGAAGTCAGAGTGACAAAGAATTTCTCCCTCCATGCCTGTGACCAGTGTGGACGGGCTTTTGCCAAGAAGGTATGGTCTTAACTTCACTCACATAAATATTAATCTTTTATAACAGTTATGTGTTCCTTGAGAATATTATATTATTTAAAACACATACTGAGTTAATTATCAGTAAGAGCAAGCAGTTTTATTACTTTACTCTTTTTAATTCTTTAAGTTCATCGTTTGAAACGTCAAGAGTTAAAGTGCTTCATGACAGAAATTTAACTAAGATCACCTTAGAGTTAGAAATGATGTGAAGTTATAACCATGAAGTATCTGTCTGTCTGTCTACTATGCTATATATCTGTTATACTGCATATCTATGCTATATATCTATGTTATATATCTGTCTATTGTATCTATATCTATCTGCAGTATCGATCCATCCATCCTTTTTTTTTAATCTTGAAAAAACATTTTGCGTAGACTCAATCAAAGCTACTTTATCTTTCAGTTAGTGCTTGGACTAAGTGTTCTGAATAACTTTTAACTACTGCCACACTTATTTTAACTCAGTATTTGTAAAATTCAAAAATGGAATTCCAGGGAATTCTCATCTATGTGTCAATTAGCTGTGGCGGCCATCTTGAATTGGGTTGACTCCAAAAGTTAAAGAGTAATGTATGCACATCTAATAATTACTTTCTGAGAGTTTCATTGAAATGAAAAATTGACGAGCAAAAATTTCATCATTGTGTCCACGGCACTGAGCAATAATCAAAAAACTAATGGGGAGATTTGTTGCTTTATTTATAACACTAATTATCTTTTATTTATTTAGTTGTACTTGGAGACTCACAAGCGAAGCCATCGAAACGCGGTGACGGCAGCAGCCAGCAGGAGAAAAGGAGTCAGCACCCGCTCCAAATCCCTGGTCTGGTGAATCAGCCAGTGTAAGAATTTATCTTCCACTCACCAACGCTCCTCCTTTATGCCTGCTATTTATTTCCTGTCCTCCGTTTTCTTTTTAGTGCTACATTTCTCTTGTTTGCTGTAGCTGTGGCTTCAGAAACTGCTAAGATAAGCTAAAATGTAGGCCGTACCCCAGAAAATGGGTGAACATGTGCCCTCCAGAGGCTGCTCGTTGTGTGCTTTCTTTGTTTCCTTCTGAGTAAAGACCAGTCCCTCAGGCAGAGATTAGAAATCACAATTTACTTTTAAGCACATTCACCAGCTGTTTCTCCCAGTTCCTCCTTATTTACACTGTCTCACTCTGCTCGTTAAAAACTGCCTTTTTTTGTTTCACTTCTTTTTCACTTTGTCTGACTAATTTTGTATCACTTTACTTCTTAATGACTTAAACCTTGTCCACACGAGAACATTGTTTCTCAAAACAACCTTTTCTGATGTTTCTAAAATATGCTCATTAACACAGCCCATTTGTAGGACTGTTTTCTTCCACGTGGAACCACAGGAAACGACCCAAAATGTTGTAGGAACTGTGCCAGACCAGCATGTGGCGCTGCCACGAAAACACAGCAGAAACGGGAAATAAGATGTAGAGCATGAGCATAAAGCTTACACTATATTGCTGAAAAATTTATAATGAGAAAAGGTAATTTCACATTTCTTTATAATTAATTTTGGCTAAAGAATTTAGAAAAACATGGTGAATGTATTAATTTTTTCACCATTTTATTTTTCTTTAAATTGGACCTTGACAGGTTTTTAATGAGTTGGGCCTACTGAGTTTGAAGGGGGTCCAACTCAACTTTGACGAGGCGTTCAGGAGGGTAAAGGTCATGTAAAGTGCTCCACTTTTACACAGTCTGAACTGTAAGCACATGAAGGAATAAAAATTGTGGATATAAGAGCAAGAACTGGATCCTTACTGTGCACTGACCAGAAAGTGGAACTTCTACTTTGGGTTAGGGGTGCACTGATTGCAGTTTTCTGGCCGGTCACCGATCTCTAAAAAGTCTGCCGATTCCGATATTTGCCGATACCAATTTTGTTTTATAAGCGACACTCTCAGGCGTTATAAGGTCACAATGCACCTTCAATTTTCCAATCTTATTTTATTAAAATACATGCCCTTGAACACTATCTCAGAAACAATAAAAACTTGTTTTAACTGACCATGAGGTAGTGCTCTGAAATATTAATAAAGTTCAGACAATTGTTAAAACTACAAAAAAATACGTAAAATCAATTTCTCATGTAAGTATCAGCCGATCTTCCAAAATTAAGGAACTCGGGGCCCCTACTTTGGGTCATATTAAACTACAAGACAAGGACAGGGTTGATTAAGAGTCACGTCCGTCCAAAGTTCTGGACTTAATGGACGCTGTTCAAGGCTGGAGGGAAGTGTAGTCCTTACAACCAGGGTAAATTATTTATGCACTGTTAAAATTGATATACGTTTGTTTAAACTTACAGTGGTCCCAACCCTAGTCCTTGAGGAACACCGCCCTGCATGTTTTATTTGTTTACCTGTTTTGACGCACCTGCTATGAATTGATGGGTGATTAACAGGCTTCTGCAGAACTTAGAAGTAATTAAGTCACTGAATCGAGTGTGTTGGAGCAGAAAACAACTGAAACATTCAGGATGGTGTTCCTCAGGGATCAGAGTTTGGAACCGCTCGTTTAAAGTATACATGATGTATTGTCAGTGTTTTGTGTTGTTGACACTTCAGTAAAATGTTAAAAAATGGTGTAATAATAATGGTTTACAGTTCAGGCTCATCAGTCGTGTCTGCTCGGTAAAGTAATCCAGCTACAAACAAACTAACACGAGCTGTGAGCTGTGGTGTCTGCCACACTTGGTGCTGAGGTTCGGTTAGAGGTGGATTTACATGTGGTTTTCAAAATGTTGTGTTTAGTTCACATGCTAAGATGGCGTTAGAAGATTTCGTTCACCCTGAAACCATTAAAATAAAATAAAAAACAACATTCAATTATGTATTCACAAGAAACGTTCTCATGTGGGCGGGGCCTAAGTTTGTTGTTTCTCTTATTATTTTTTTCTTATTTTGTGTTTGTTTGTTTTTTTTAATCCCTTTTCTTCCAGATTTACAAACTGCCACAAATGAAGGACAGCGAGCGGCCAACAAATCAAAACTGTCAACTGGAAAAATAATCAAATCAGACATGAAGGAAAACAAAAAGGAGCTGAGGAGCCTTAAAGAGTTCGACGGTTTCTGTTCACCTTTTGCTTAAGAGCCAAAAAAATTATTTGGAAACTGACATTCTCCACAAACTGCTGTACATATTCATCAGTGCATCTGTATTTACTTTTGTAATTATAGCTCTATAATCAGCCGCCTGATGTTTACTGCTTTGAATCTGATGCCCCGCTTGGATAAAAGCCGTCCGTGTGAACGGGAACACGGACGTCGGAGTCTGATTACGAGCTCCGCAGAAAACCTTTTCATTTCTGTGAACTCAAATCTTTTGAAGCATTGCCTTTCTTCTCAGCTACACCTGGCTCGTAGTTTTCAGCAGCAGCTCACATCTGCGTTTGTAAACTCACGTTAAATCGAGGTTTCCAGTTTTACAGACTCACGTCCGTTTCTCAGGCGGCTTTTCACCCCAAGTCCATTTTATTTAGGTTCAGTTTGCCTCCGACATGAACGTATCTCTCTCTTTGTGCTATAATCCAATTAGCTTTAGCCCGAGAGTTGACTTTTAGGTAAAATTAATTGAACTTATGCCATGAGTGCTGTTCCTCACATTCTTATGAATCATCTGATGTGTTCTTTACTGCGACAGCACACTCCTCCACGTCTCTCTATGAAATACAACCGAGTGGGTGGCAAAAATATTTACCCCTCCTGATATTTATCTTTTGTTGCAGTAAACCAGGAATTTAATTAGATTTTTACTTGGTTTAAAATGGACTATACTCTAAAAGTACGCCAGATTAATGAAGTTAAATGGGTAAATAGGTCGTAGAAGGTGTTTTAGGCCATTAAGGACACCATATCTGATACAAAACACCGACCTTCAGCGTGCTAACACCATCACTACAGTGAAGCACGGCGGTGGCAGTACCGTGCCAAACTAGTCAGAGATGGAAGTAAAGATGGGCGGAGCCAAATGCAGAGAAACTATTGAGAGGAACTCGTAGTCGTCCAGAGATTTGAGGCTTAGATGGACCTTCCATCAGGAAGACCACCCTCCCGTTCAAATGAGAATCTAAAGCTTTCTGGACACAGAACCGAACCGGAAGACGCTTTGGAGACCGAACACATTTGGGAAATTCAAACCAAGTTTTGTCCTCGTTTAGCTTCATTAATCTGAAGCTTTTTTTTACTGGAATGTTGCTTTTAATCCAGTTAAATTTCAGCAGGTAAAGCAACCGAATAGAAAGATGGACTGTAACACTTTAAGAAACGCTCATCGGGGCAGTTAACTCCACATCACCATGAAATAATTCAGTTGTTACCTCCGTCATGGCTACACGTGTATTTTAATGTCTTTAAGAGGCAGTTATCAGGGCTCACATCCGTACTGCCTGCCTGAACGAACAGTTTACACAAACCTTTTGATTTCATGAACAAAAACACTGGAGCATATTTAAATTAACGGCTTTATTTAATTCCTTCCCGACAGGCTAAACCCTGCGTAATTCTCTGTAAAGTATATTTTCCTGTAGTGGAGCTGCTCCTGCAGGTAGTCGTAGAAACACTGAAGGAAAAGAGCGAGCGAGGAGGACCAAATGTAGATACGTCTCCGAAAGACGTGAAGCGGGACAAGACCAAACTTTTATTTTTGTAACAAACTGCTTGTGTGTGTGTATATACAGATTTATTCAGCGCAGATGGTATAAATATTAGTTAAATAATAATTATTTCCGTGCACCTCGGGTATGTCCGAAGACCGTCACTGTTTGTTTCTCATTCCACAGGTTCCCTCGTTTTTTCTGTTATTTAAAAAGTGTATTCTATTTTGAAGACGTTTTGTTCAAAGGCGAGGATCCAGACTCCGAGAAGGTGTTTTTAAATGTTTTTTTGTTGTTGTTGTTGTTGTTTGTAATATGTTGATTATGTCATAATTTAGAGGACGACTGAAGTAGATTCCTTTAAGATGAGACGAGTGTTAAAAACAACCACTTAATAAATAAAAACTTACTAATTCTAACGTCTGAGTGGATGTTTGCTGTCTTTTTTTATCATATTCAACCACATTATCTTTTTTTTTTTTTTTATATTCTCTACGTGAATATATTCTTGTATTAGACCAAACTTTGACTAATTCAAATAAAATGATCCGTTCAGGGGATTATAATATTGCCAGACTTTTTTTTTTGTTTTTCGCTGTAGGATGTTTCTTTTTTAAATCTAATATCAGCCGAAGGAGGTCTCCCAACAAATTTCACGTCATCATTTTAGTGTTGTTCTCTAGAAACTGCAGCTTCCAGCTGCTTTAGTTTCTTTATAACTCTTTGCCAGACACCTGAAGTAAACTGATGTCGCATAAATGATGTAGGATATTGCAAGTTGGATGCATTAGTGGCCAAAGTATTCGTTAAAGATGACTCTTAGTAACTACCACACCAAACTTTAGCTCAATATATGAGTGAATATGGAGCTTTTTGTAGGCTAAGATTGATTAGCTTTTGCAGCCATCTTTACTTGGGTTCACTTCAAAAGTTAATCAGTTGTCGATGTACATCTAGTGATTACTTTCTGAGAGTTTCATTAAAACCTTTCTAGTGGTACATTAGGTATTTTGCTAACAGGCAGACTCTGTTGACTCCAATAGTTATTAGCAAAGTTTTAACCACAGATCCCACACACACAATTAGAGTTCAGAGTATGTGTTGGGGTTGACTCCCAGCTACTACCACACCAAATTTGAACTTGTTATCTTTAAAACTGGATACGTAATAGCAATTTATAAGTGTAGCAAAGTTGCTTAGCTTTGGTGGCCATTTTGAATCAGATTGTCTCCAAACATTGAGAATTTGTAGTTTTAAATCCAATAATTACTCACAGGAAGTTTAGTTAAAATCTGTTTTTTGGCTCGTGAGATATTTTGCTAACAGACAAACGGTGTGCATTCAAATCCCCTTCAGGCCGAGTCCACCTTGTTGCAGTTCTAATCTCACCACCAGATGGCGCCATCGCCTCGCCCAGCTTCTCATGCGGCTGCAAAACTACAAATTGGACGTGTTGCGCGCACCTCCCAGCACTGGCTCGGCTCGGCTCGGCTCGACTCCTGACTCGGCTCAGCTGATCAAATTGTTACACGGCAGATGGGACGCGCGCGCGCTTCGTTTCTGTAACGCTCCACTCAGCTCCGGGTTTTACAGCGAGGAAAATGGATTGAAGTTCAGCCAATTAAGAGCGGCGCACCGCCGGAGTGAGCAGATTTTATTTTTTTATTTTGTATTTCTGGATGACTTATTGATGTGTTCAGTAACCAACCCCCCCTCTTCTTCCTGTGGAAGCCACTTATCGATTAATCGGTGATAAACTTGATTGAACGGTTTGGACTCGCGTGCACACAGCACTGTCCCTTTCAGCACCAACCCGCCACCACAGATCCACCCCCCCCCCCACCCCAACACACACACACACTCCAAAAAGGAGCTGAAAGCGGGGGTCGAGGCGCGGCGCGTGCGCGCGCGAGGAGCAGCAGACTTGAAGAAAGGGGGCTTTATGCGCAAAGTGCGTGGAGCTTAAAGAGGACCATGGATCCAAATCAGGTGGGTTTTTACTAACATTATTGATCAGCGCGTGCATGATGAATTCCTCTGCTCCCCCCACACCCCCCATTCTTAGTCATCAGCAGACAGCTCCTATTGTCCTTAAACATGCGCGGAGTTGATAGTTGCTGTTTTTTTTTTTGCGCGTAAAATCCTCCCTGTTGGTCACGACTGAGCACTTTTTATCTTCATCTCACGGATTTGTTTTTATTACTCGTATTTTGGAGGAGTGGAGGTAAAAACCCTCAAGAGGACTGGCATCTTTTTTTATTTTTTAAATTGAGGTGTGAAACTGCTGAGCTCCGCAAGGAAGTTGCCTGAGGCGGACGTGGAGCTGAAGGAGGGAAGATGCTGGAGCTGCTTCTTTCTGTACCAGGAATCAAATTGTCTGATTTCCGATGTATCTTAAAGTCCCTTGTCTGATAATCTGCACATTCCTCTGGTGATGGGGGGTTGCCAGACTGCGCACTAGTTGATGGGTGAGTACCAGACTTTACATCACTTTAACAATCATGTATGTATTAATGAGAATGACATGTACTCTCCCAGACATCACCACACTTATGTCAAAAAGAACATGCTAATTAGGGTGAATCAGATTGCACAGAAGAAGCCCTGTGGCTGCATAATCAGCACACCAGACTTTGATCTTGTTTTGGAACCAGGGGGCTGCGTTTTTATCTCAAGACGCACGACTTCGCCATGTCGAGGGAGGATGCATGAATCTGGATGTGGAGGGAACAAGACGAGGGTCCACAAATCAAATTAAAGTGAGCGGGAGACGTCCTTTCTGTGCGTGCGGCTCGTGAAGGAGCCGAGAGGAAAGACTGACCACAACTCCTGGAGCTGAAGAGAGGAGGGTGAGGGGTGGCGATCTCCCCCTTAGAGATGGAGAAGACTGAGGTGATGCTGCACAGCATCGAAGATTGAATAAGACGAGAACAAAATGATTAAAGTGAAGGAAGAAACCTCAACAAGCATGCAGGTCTCAATTAAAAGGAGTGATGAGCCACCTGAAGCCTTTTAGAGATCAACCTGCTTCATCTTTGAACCTTCAGGGGATTCCTCCTCCTCCTCACGGAGAGGCAGCCTCATGGGAGGGGGTTTCTTTCAGCTTTGCCAAAGCACCATGAGGACTACCAAAGGTGTGAAAGATGAAGGATGATGGGGCAAACCATCAGAGAGGTGGGATACTTTTAGTAAAGATTGATTGTTAAGGGGACAGTTGTGGCCTGATGCGTCCAATCCTGGATGTTTTCAGCTCCGTCTACATGGAAATGGCATTTTGGGGATTCCCCCCCCCCCCCCCTTTTTTTTTTTCCTATCTCAAAACCAGATTTCAGAGTAAATCTTTAAACGCCACCGCTGTGTTCTCGTGTGGACAGCCATTTGAAAATGAAGACGTCAAATTACACTCATCATTTAAGACCAAAAAGGGTTTTTCATCATTTTCCTGAACTTTCAACAATACTAAAACAAACGTTGCAGGAAAGTATCAACAAGATGCATGAAGTATTTTTTTTTTTCCCCGCGTGTTACAGCGCCACATGCAGGACACCAGACAGAAATGATTAACGTACAGGCACATCTGTGGGCAGCACCATGTTGTTACACTTCATTCTAGTGTCAAACTGTGATGCAGAGCTGTTTGTTTCTCACTAATAAGACACTAAGGGATGTGCTGACTTTGATTCGTAAAGGCCGTTGAAAATCCAGAGTTGGTCGACCTCTATGATCCTCTAATCATCTTCAAATAGTGTGAATGAGTCGCTAGACTTTAAATACCACCAGGGCTCCAGTTCCTTCTCCGTTGCCCCGGTCTGATTTATTTAGCACCTCTCACGAGACGTTTGAGTTTAGTTACCGCTTGAACTGTTAAATCCCGAGTTCACTCGTGCTGCGGTACGGATTCGGTGGCTCGTAGATGAGAGATAAAACCAAAGAAGTTGGGGAGTCGTTATTCCTGAAAGCTTGTCCCGGACAATAATAGACTGGAATCAGGTTTGAGTTGCGTCTGAACGAGTGGGGCCCCTAAGCCTCATTAGGAAACCTCCTTTTGTGACTTTGCCAAGAAAAACGCGTTGAATAAACGATGCGGTGACTGGAATGTGTTTGAATCGGCGCTGGTTAACCTATAAAGCAGGGGCTTTCATCAAAGTGGGGGCTCGGCTGTGACCTGATTTCTTTCAGAGTGGAGAGAAGCTAATGAATTAATTGGGACACAATTGAATTATTTTCGTTGAGAGTGGTTCATGCTGGGATGGCGCCCTTGGGGTAAGGCTGTCCGAAGGAAGGTTTCCAAACGATTCTTTGCCGTCAGCGTTCACAACACGAGATCTAATGTTGACCCGAGGGAGTTTTGGAGTGGGATGTGATCCAGCAGGGACAGATGCAGTTGAAGATTAGTAGCAGGATCTCCTGCAGGGTGATACAGGCTGGCTGATTTATCTACCGGGGGGGTACCCATGCCAAAAGGATACACGACTGTCCGATTTAACGAGACAGGACTTTCACATCAGATGTCCAGGTGCACGAACGAGTCATCGGCTTGGATTCAGAGTAGCACTAGTTTGCCTTGTTCTACCTGTGATCGATCAGTCATTGATTAAGCTCACCACAAACACCTGTCTGGATTTAGCTTGATACCCTCAGAGTAAAGACAATTTACATTTTTGGGCTTTTAGTTTTCCTCCAGCTTTTATAGGGCTCGTTCCTCTGCTATTGCCAGTGCCTGACATGTTTATATTCAGGTGGGTGGTTGTAAAAGGAACGTTCACACAAATGGTTTCCCTACAGAACGCTGGTGTATTATACTGAGATCCATCCAAGACTGAGCGTAGATTGTAAACAGACTGTCCAGCTCCATGTGTTCAATTCTGCTGTTTGCTTAACCCAGGCCCTGCCAACATTGTGTGTTTGACCCAACAACCACTTCACCCATAAAAACCACAACCAGGACTATAAATCTGGTCTGGATTTATACAAATTTACAGGCCAATCTGCAATCAGAGAAACCACTTCCTTGTTCCCGTTTGTCCATCTCTGACTCAAGCCCATGAAGCTTCTTCTTGAACTTTCTTTTAGTTCCAAAAACACAGGTCACCTTATCTCCATCCACATCTGGGAAACTTCGTATCCCCAAAATGTTCCTTTGTGGAACCAAAGTATTAATTCTGCAGTTTGTCTGAGCTGAGAAGTTTATCTCCAAAGGAAGCTTAATGGGCTCTTTACAATAACAAGTATTTAATGGCAATGTGGCTAAATGAGCCTTCTTTCAGATTGATGACCGGATTTTGTAGATTACCGTATTTTCCGGCGTATAAGTCACAGTTTTTTGCATAGATTTGTCAGTCCTGCGACTTATACACCGAAGCGACTTGTATGTTTTTTCCTCTTCATGATACGTTTTTTTTAACTGATGCAACTTATACTCCGGAAAATCCGTTGTGTAAAGAAATAGTGATAAACTCCCTTATATCTGAATCTGAAAGATTCAATAAAATATGGTATGCCTTTTTTCAGAAGTAGGCTTTTAACACACGCAAACAGGAGTCACCCGTCCACATGTTACATACATGATGATTGAATGATATTGCGATTTTTGAATGATCTGTTAGTGCTTGGAGTGTGTTTTGTGAATGACTCTCAGCTACTACCACAACAAATTTTAACTCAAAATGTGTAAAATTCACAGTCGGTCATTTTTGTGTTGACCAAGGTCATGCAGCTGTGGCGACCATCTTGACTAGAACTCACTCTGAAAGTGAATAAGTTGTAGATGCACATCCAATACTTTCAATTTTACAGTTTCAGCTAAATCCGTCCGGTGGGTCATGAGATATTTTGCTAACAGGGCAGACAAATGAGCAACACAGCCATGATTATATGTATGCCTTTAGCAGCGGGTGAAAAATGTTAAGTTTAACTAAGAATCTCACCAGAAAAATGTGAAAGAGGAAGAAAAAAAAAGTTTCCCTACCTCTAGTTGTCAAGCTCAGGATTAATTATCCCATCTTTAAATATTTATTCGGGGGATCCAAATTTGCACAAATTGCCTCCTCACACAGTCTGCGTGCACAAAATAAAATAAAAAATCAAGCCTTACAGATCAGGGGAGGCAAATGAGAAAATAAATTCCCTGGGGCTTCGGCTAATGAAAGCACATTAGCAGTCCTAGCATGTAGAATAAATCCACCAGTTTGTCATGACCAATTTTCAGCCCTGGTCCAAACCAACTCCTGCACTGGTCAATAAAACGGCTGCTTACACCGCGGCTCAGTGAGTGAGTGATACGTTACCGAAGCCAGGGATGACTTTACAATAAGTACCTTTACAGCTCCAACAAAGTTCAGTCAGGTCATCTGGACAGTTTCTTTTTTGTTGTTGAGACGTTTCGTCCTTCATCCAAAGGACTTCATCAGCCTGAGGAGCCAGCCACAACAAACTCAGTCCCGCAAGCAGCACAGTCACATAGTGGGACAACCAGTTTGCTGGTGATAAGATGGTTTCTTGGGCCCACCCTCTCCCCTGTATCCATCCATCCATCCATCCATCCATCCATCCATCCATCCATCCATCCACCCACCCACTTCTGCTTGTTCCAAAGTCGGGTCGTGGGGCAGCAGCTTGAGCAGGGAGGTCCAAACATCTCTTTCCACAGCCACTTCTTCCAGGTCTTCTGGGAGGATTCCAAGGTGTTCCCAGGCCTCTCAAGAGACATAGTCTATCCAGCGTGTCCTGGGTCTTCCCCGGGGTCTCCTCACAGTCGGAGATGCCCGAAGCACCTCCCCAGGGAGGCGCCCAGGGGGCATCCTTACCAGATGCCCAAACCATCTCAACTGGCTCCTCTCGACGTGGAGGAGTAGAGGTTCTACTCTGAATCTCTCCCGAATAACTGAGGATGTTTTTTCCTCCTCGGGACGAAACGTCTCAACAAATAAAGAAACCGTCCAGGTGACCTGACTGAACTTTGTTGGATTTTTTTAACCTGGATTATTGAGCATGAACTTTGATACCTTCACAACGGTTAATGTTAGGAAGTTACATTTAATATTACGTCAACCTGTTGGGTTTGAAACTGTTTGTGTGTGACGTGTTCATTCAGCTGCAGCAGAAACACACCTGCGCTGCGTCTTCACTGCCGTCTCATATATTTCTAGTCTCCCCATCCTCCTCGTCTGCATCTCACTTCCTGCTCCTTACCCCCGTATTCTTCTTTATTGACTCTGCAGCAGGTAGTCGTGCAAAACAGCCCAAGGATCTCGCCGCGAGGTCCTCCGCTGTCATCCTGACAGCTGCTTTCCTTGCTGCTCTGCCAAGAGACGAGTGTGTGGAGGTGATTACAAAGCTGAAGCGCTTTGGTGTTTTTCAAACCAGAGGATTGAACTGATATTTTTGCCAGAGTTAGGAGCGTGCTATTCAATGACGTGTGCATATTTTGTACTTGAGCCTTAAAGCCCTGCAGCAGCTTGATGTTGGTACTGACACTAAAATGTCTCTGTGTCTCCTTCACAGATGCTTCAAAAGACGTGACTTGTGGATTACACGCTGCACCTCCCAACCACAAATCCACCGTAGCCGCTACATCTCTTGTGCGCTCTCTTCTATGGATTATGATTTGCTCATGGGGCTCGGCTATCTCCAAATTTGGGGTTCTTCACCTCTGCTTTATTGACCAGTAAGAAGGTCCAAACAATTAAAGTTCAGTTTTTGAAGTATCCTCCTCTAAGATCCAAATTTTTGCACATTTTTATGAACATGGAGCCTCACTGGAGCCCAGGTTCCCCAGTCATCATCCTGCTCCTGGCTCATACTTGGTTCTTTCCTGCTGCCTCCCCTCAACGAGTCCCCACTGACCCCCAGGCGGCGCCGGAATACGCTCACTCCATCCGACTTGACGGTGACATCATACTTGGCGGATTATTTCCCGTTCACTCGCGAGGCAACCATGGCACGCCGTGCGGCGAGCTGAAGAAGGAGAAGGGTATCCATCGCTTGGAGGCCATGATGTTTGCTATTGACTTGATCAACAAGGACCCCGAGCTGCTGCCCAACATCACCCTGGGGGCCCGGATCTTGGACACCTGCTCCAGGGACACGTACGCACTGGAGCAGTCCCTGACTTTCGTACAGGCCTTGATTGAACGGGACGGCTCAGACGTCCGTTGTGCCAATGGAGACCCTCCTATCTTCACCAAGCCTGATAAAATCGTAGGGGTGATTGGAGCTGCGTCAAGCTCCGTGTCCATCATGGTGGCCAACATCCTGCGCCTCTTTAAGGTAAGATTCAACCACTTTATTGATGTTTTGGTAACTTCTCCTTTTGTCTTGCTGTTTGTCTGCTCATGGACTGCCAGTCCGTGCACATTCCAGATGTTTCCAGAGACAAAATTGCTCATAATAGCTTAATTGCTTTGTTCTGGGTCTGGCCTATTTCACTTGCTCTCTCTCCTTCTTAAAAGAAGGCAGTAGCATCCACAAATCTGCTGGACCACGACAATATACTGCTAAATTGAAAACTTGCAGCATGCCTACATATATAAGCTGGATTAGAGAACTCCTTCATTTATTGTGTGAATGCTTATGAAGCATTCACGCTATTGTGATCCTGTTTATATTTCTTATACTTATTATACGCCTTCCGTACGTTTTTTGACATCTTTCTCGTTCCACAGTTTTTGTGTTATTTCAACAAATCATACAACAAAACATTCAGCTCTTTCTGGAGAAGAGTGACATGACTTTTGGTACTGGTGCAACTTTAGCTTTTTGAAATATTTAGCCTTTTCTGACGTTTTATTCCTCATTGGAAATGAAATGAGCTCATTTTACATCCTTCATGCCTATAGATGTGTTTACAATCTTTTACCACTACTTTCACATTTTGTTCAGTTCAGCTTGTTTCAGCTTACTTCTGCAAAAATAAAAAATAAACCAAAACGACAACAAAAAAGCTACTTTTAGCCGATTTCTGCTGTTTTGCGCTTTCTTTCTGCTAATCTCAGTTTATGCTTTTTTCAGCTTATTCCTGCAAGTTTCAGCTATTTCTGTTATTTTAGCTACTATTTAGCTGATTTTATGCTAATTTTAGCTTTCTCAGCTAATTCCACATTTTTTGCACTCATTTAAACGTTTTCAGCCTAATTCTGCAAAACATGTGCTCTCTCCACTTGCTTTAGGTAATTTAAGCTTCTTTCTGCCTTTTTAGCTACTATCCATTAGTTTTATTTGTAGCAAATTTCTGTTTGTTTTCTAGATAGTTTCCTTTTTTGGTGCTAATTTCTGCTTCCTTCAGCCTAATTGGGCACAGTTGTACTCTATCCACTTTCTTCTGGTAAATTAGGCTTCTTTCTGCTTTTTTTTAGCTACCTTTCAGCTGTTTTGTTGTTGCTGTTGCTAATTTCAGATTTTTTTTTAAAATAATTTCCAAATTTTTGTGCTAATTTCTGCTTATTTAAACATAATTCAACAAATATGTGTTTGTTGTACTTTCTTCTGATAATTTAGCTTTGTTCTTCCATTTTATGACCAATTCAGCACATTTTTAGCTAATTTCAGATGTTTTTCAGCAAGTTCTTCAGCAATAAGCACTGCATTTTCGCAGGAATTGCAATTTCTCTAGTTTAAAGTGGAAACACTAGGCTGACTTTGTCCAGTAATGCTTAATCATTTGAAATAACCTGGAACCCCTTTCTGTCTTATGTTAATGGCACAGGTTGTCAGATTATTCTTAAATTGAGACCATTTCATTAGCTTGTTAGAGGCAGGTGCCCACAGGAGGGGTTTAAAAACTGAAAAGGTAATAAAAACTGTTATCACTTTCTGCTGCAGTGACTGTTTTCCTTCTGTCACTGGTCGGAGGGAAGGATAGCCTGCCTGATAGCCACGTTTTCTAAGCCCAAAGTGTGATTTTTATCTCCAGTTCAGACGTGTGTGAGTGAGAAACCGATGTGTCAAGCGATGCTGGTAAGAAAGGACTCTGTGTGTGTCGCCTGCGAACTTGCGAAGACACCACTTTTTTCTAGTACATGTGTGGGCCTAATTAAGCATCCTCGTGAGCGCCTCCTGAAGCTCTCACAAATCCAGTTGTTCCTCCTCAGGTATGTGTGTGTTTCTGCAAGTGTGTTCCCATTGTCATCGTTAGTGTCACGGAGCTGATGGATGGCTGTTCCGTTATGAAGTACGAGTCCAGTAATGACGCCTGTGGCATTTCACATTTTTATCCCACGCTCGCTCTCACTGTATGGTTTCTGTTGGTTTGGCTCAGGAACATTCCATATGCTGCTCTGTGGGTGTGTGTGTGTGTGTTTTATTACGAGTGCATGGAACGCACATGTTAACAACCAGCTCTGAATGGAAGATTTGCATATTAAACAACAACAACAACAACTAAACATGATTTATTCCAGGATCTGTCACAGCGACAGCACTCGAACAGAGCGCCTTTCTGCCTCTGCGGTGCCTCGCTCTCATTTGCCTAATACGATTTAGAGCCTCGCGTGCGTCTCTGTGCACGTTTGAGTGTGTGTGCGCTGCTTGCCAGCGGTGCACGTCCAGCTACTGTTTGTGCATGGTGTGTGTGTGTGTGGGGGGGTGTTGTAGTGTAACTTTGCAGCATGTCAGCCTCTGGTTGTGTTCAGGCGTGTCACAAAAACCGTATCCTTCTCCGCATCTTTAACGTAAACGACGCAGCCTGTTCTGAAAATGGAACTTGCACACACGGCCCAAAAAGACATATGTATTTTTAAACTGACTAATCCGACAGTCACAGCTAGTCGCCCACTCAACACAACGAGAGGCCAGGAAGCAAATACAACAGTGTGTGTAGCAGATGAGATTCAAACAACAGATTGTATGAAAAATTCAAATTTTCATTTTTTTTTTCAAGCTTAGCAGCAGAGGGAGCCCCTTACTGACAGAGAGAAATCAAGTCGAACAAGGGTTGTTGATGCTTCTGTTGTTCCTCGTTCCCCTTTTTGAAGATTAGCGTTCTGCACTGTGGGATGATCAGAACCAGGGTGGGGGTGAGATAAGATACAAGAAGAGTGGAAATGTGGTAATCAGGGGCTTTGCAGCCGCAGACTGTAATGGAAACCCAAGCGAATTAAAGGACCGCCATTTGAGCTTAATATTTACACAACTGACTTGAGTTCTGGCCATTTTTTGTATTGGCCAATGTTGGTTAGCTGTGGCGGCCATTTTGACTGGGAATGACTCCGAGAAATAATTGTAGATGAATTGGAGATTGTAGAAAATTGGTGGAGACGTTCATCCAGTGCTTAATTTGAGCTGGATCTGTCCAGAATAGGATCTGAGAACACTCTTATTTTGACAGGATGCGTTTTGGTAACTGTTTGCTTGGATTCGGTAACTCTCAGGCTTACTACTACTAATAAAGTTATGAACAAATATGGCTGCCTTGAACGAATAAAACTTATATTGGATATGCAAACTGAAAATAATTACATAAACACTAATTTTAAACACAACAGCCACTTATAAACATACGAGCTGCCCCATTCAAGTAGCATCTACCCTTAAAGAGTGGTGTTGGTGGTGTGTGTGTGTGTTGGGGGGGGAGCTAACCAGGCAGGAGCCCAGATGGAGAAGGCGCCTGGAGTCAGACAACAACGAGCAGGGTCAGTGTCGGGTTTGGAACCGTCAAGTAGGAGTGGGGTATGATGCTTGACAGAAGCGGAGTGTTTACAAATCTAGGTAAACATAGATGTTTAACAATCCGTTAAAATACACCAAAATGCAGGAAATCGCATCTACTTTATTCAAAATTTTCTGGGGGAAGACCCACAGACCTCCACCCCAATGTCAGCCCACCAGCTATTTGCGTTCCGGCATTGATCGTTTGCAAATTACCGTATTTTTCAAACTATAAGGCACATTAAGCGAAACAAAAGTCAGATAAATCAAACTTTATTCAACTCATTCATAATAACCACATAAAATTGGTTCGAGGTCAGTAAGCACAACACAAATTAATATAAGGCGCAGCTGATTATAAGGCTCACTGTTGATTTTTAAGAAAATTAAAGGGTTTTAAGTGCGTCTTGTAGTCCGGAAAATACGGTAAGCCCTGCGTTCATCCAATGAATACCTGTCTCTTTAATGGCCTCCGCTTGTCGGCAAACTTGAGCTCAGTTATCCAAAGTCCTGCCGCTTAACTGAACAAGACTTTACGTTTTTAGAAAATAAAAACACCCTAAAATCGTAATAGTTCTTAATGCTTCTGTGCTCTAAAGTTACTGTTTGGTAGTTTACTTTGGTCAGTTTGTTTATCTACATGTGAGGCTGTGGGTCGCCTTCAGCTTGGCCCGTGTTCCTCTGAGAGACGTAGGGCAAGTTTCTGGTATTCAAATACACAATAAATAAATAATAATCTTACTGACCAACTGAAATATGATTGTTCTGGCAGGTTTTTTTTCTTACCACGATAGAACTATTTATCAAAACTACAAATTCATTCAGTACAGCTGAGATTACTCTCAACTCTGGACACACGGAGATTTTTTTAGTAGTCTGGCATCGACCTCCATATTCTGTCTCATGTCGGGCATAATTTCTCTCAGAACTCTACTTCAAATAGATGTGGCCAAACCTCAAACGTTTATCATTTTCAGAGCGGTGCAGAGGTCAGTCCACTGCTGCGGACTGAGCCTAGAAATAAACCGCTATGTGGACACGATTTACCAGTTAACAGACTGGCATTCTTTGAAGAATTTCTTACTGCCCACCATCTTTCATGCCAGATGATCTTATGATTGATGATGATGTTATAATCTTTTTGGTTAAACCTACAAATTATTGTTATGCAATATCTCAAAATGTCACTGTCAGAGTTTGAGTTATGAATGACTCTCAGCTACTATCATACCAAATCGTAGCTCAATATCTGTAAAATTGACCGAGTTATAGCCATTTTTATACATTTTAAAACCAGTTGGCTGTGGTGTCCATTTTAGAGTTGGCTCTAAATATTAATCAGTTATTGAGGTGCACCCAGTGATTATAACCTGGTAATTTCATAAACATACTTGTAGTGCTTCATGAGATATTCTGCTAACAGACATATGAAAATAAACACAAGCAAAAGCATGATGTTTGCGATCATGTCACTGAGGTCATCTGTGCACAAGTTGCTCTAAAAATAAAACAAACGTGTGCTAATTTGTGTTTTTCGCTCTAAGGCATTTAAGCAAACACTTAAACCGACAGCTGTTTTACGTTTATAGACTTCTCACTCAGCATTCACAAACCGACTCGCAACA